GAACTTTTTCACAGTTAGAGTGGCCAGGGTCTGGAACGGGCTTCCAAGGGAGGTGGTGCTTTCTCCTACCCTGGGGGTCTTCAAGAGGAGGTTAGATAGGCATCTAGCTGGGGTCATCTAGACCCAGCAATCTTTCCTGCTTATGCAGGGGGTCGGACTCGATGATCTATTGAGGTCCCTTCCGACCCTAACATCTATGAATCTATGAATCTATGACAGGCTGAGAGCCCTGGGGCTCTTTAGCCTGAAAAAGCGCAGGCTCAGGGATGATCTGATGGCCACCTACAAGTTTATCAGGGGTGACCACCAGTATCTGGGGGAACGTTTGTTCACCAGAGCGCCCCAAGGGATGACGAGGTCGAATGGTCACAAATTACTTCAAGTTCGTTTCAGGCTGGACATAAGGAAGAATTTCTTTACTGTCCGAGCCCCCAAGGTCTGGAACAGCCTGCCACCGGAGGTGGTTCAAGTGCCTTCATTGAACACCTTCAAGATGAAACTGGATGCTTATCTTGCTGGGATCCTATGACCCCAGCTGACTTCCTGCCCTTTGGGCAGGGGGCTGGACTCGATGATCTTCCAAGGTCTCTTCCAGCCCTAATGTCTATGAAATCTATGAAATCTATGAAACAGTCCCTCAATAAAAGGATGGCAGTCTTTCAGTAGACAGGGAAGTCATCAGTGAATCCGGAGATAACTGAAGAAGTTAATCTGAGATCTGCATGTTTGACTGGAGACATGGCAGACAGTACCAGGAGTATATCCTGGTGATGTTGGGTCACAACTCTTTCCATTTGCCTTTTGGCCTCTGTAGTGAGGCACGTTTGCTCAAAATAGTTGATGCTCTGTCATACATCACAGTGCCACCAGGGGACAATGCCATGCTTGAGTCTCCCAAGTTTTGATGTTAATATCACATTTCTTCAGATTGGCCTTCAAGGATCTCTTCTTTTTGCCTGTCTCTAGAGTGGTGGCCATTAATGAGTTGGGAGTATAGGACCTATTTTGGGATCTTGTTGTCAGGCACCCTTATGACATATTCTGCCCAATGGAGCTGATGCCATATAAACATGGCTTTTATGCTGGTGCTGTTTACTTGAACCAGAACATTGGCATTCACTCTTCTGTCCTTCCAATTACTATGGATGATTTTTTGAAGACATCACTGATAGTAACATTCCCAGGCTTTCAGGTGTTTTTAACATGTCCAATATTGCCCACTCTCATGATTTTTGTTCTTAAAGTCTACACTTCAGGAATGTGACAAATTTAGCTCTTTCTTTTTCAAACACACACACACACACACACACACACACACACAGAAAGAAAGAGCTAAGTTTAAATGTAAATATATATAAATGTAAATATATACATAAAAGAAAGAGCTAAGTTGTTCACATTCCCAAAGCACAGACTTTAAAAACAACTCCAAAAATTGTAAGAGTTGGCAACACTGTATGTCATCCAGGTTTCACACACATGCAGCAGGGAAGGGATGACAACAGCCTGGTAGACAAGAAGTTTGGTTGGGTCCTGATGTCATAATCATCGAAGATGTGATTTTGAAAATGTCCAAAGGCAGCACTAGCAGATTTTATCCTTTTTTCTTCACATGACTTACCAAATTGCCCAAGCTGATCCAGGTTTAAACTTCAATTAAAGAGATTCAAATTTGGATCATACATCAAATAGACGTGCCAATGAAACTGTGAATCAATTATGAGAAACCAAAGAAAGGAAAAAAGATAATTATTAGAAAAAATTATAAATATTTTAATAACAGAAAGCAATGCAGGATCCAACTTATTTTTAATTCTTATTGCTTATTTTAACACTCTAAAGTTATTACCATCAGGGCATCTAACTTATTTTTTATTCTTTATTATTTATTTACCACTTCATTGTCACTCTTTTCAATACGAAGTTGAATGTTGAGTTGCACTGGCTGCATCTACATGAGACACCGACTGTGCAGTAGCCCGTAGCTACTATGCAGTAGCATCTTGTGGCAGATGCTACTGCGCAGTAGTCTTGTGCCATGCTACTGCACAGAAATTCCACATAAATCATACTTTTGAAAGAGCCACCTGGATACCACAAAAAGATTTGCTGCAGTACAAAAAGAAAATCCCCACAAATTGCACACCATTAGTTATGACATACCACCCTTTCCTGGAACCTACACAGAAAACCTTCAAACAATTTCAACTCATACTAGAAGAAGACCCAGTTCTTAAAAAGATATTTCCAGACCACCCATCCTAGACTGTAAATGAGCACCGAACCTCACCAACCTCATCACCAGAAGCAAACTCCCTATGATCCAAAACACACCTAAAGGATCCAGACCATGCCAGGACAAGAAATACAAAACCTGCCAACACATCTTCACCACCCCCACAATAGTTTCAACCTACAACAGAACTATCAGCATTCCTGGATCTTACCCCTGCACCTCCAGAACTGTTCTATATTTCATTCAGTGCACCAAATGTCCTGATGCAAAATATGTAGGAGAGACCAAACAACTGCGCACCAGAATGAACACACACTGAAAATCCTTCAAAGACAAAAATATCCAATTACCTGTGGGTGTCCACTTCTCACAAGACAGTCACTCCCTCTCCAATCTGCCAGTTCTAACCCTCAAAGAGAACTTACAAAACACCTTTCGTATATGAGCCTATGATATTCATAAATCTTCTAGATACAAAAATTCATGAACTCAGTATAGACATTGGATTATGACACATTACAGCCTGCCAGATATCTGATTTACCAGGTACCTGCCTGACCTTATCATTTTACTCCCCCCATCCTTCCTGTGCTCCCCTCCTCTACCTTTTGTCTTCCTAATTTCCAGCTATTTCCTTTTTCACAGACTGCCTCTCTTTTACCTTGGAGAACTCAACTACAGCAGAGTCTACCTTGCTTACTTTTGGCATTATTTCCCCGTCGTTTCCTCCCCTCCCCTCCCTTCTCTACTCTTTTTTTCCCTAATTTCCACCTATTAACATTCTCACTGACCTCTTGTCACACTTCTAGCTTCTTTCATTCCTTGGAGATGTCAGAACAACAGCATGACTGAAGGAGGGTGGTTGTGCCAGAAAGCTTGCAAAGAACAATTTCCCAACTACTCAGTTTGTCTACTAAAAATATCACATCTACCCCAAAAAACCTTGCCTACCTATGTCCTTTGACTCACATGGCTACAACCAAAAACCCTGCACAGTCATTTAGTACTTGTTTACACAAGTACTAACTGTGCAGTAACAACTGCACAGTCAGCATCTCATGTAGACGCAGCCACTAAAAACTGAAGGTTCCTTGTTCTGAAGAACTGTGTCCATAACTTTCATTCAGATTAACAGAATGTTGTTTGCATTATTGTTCATTAAAAGAGTTCAAAAATGTTCTTGACAAAACACAGATATGAAAAGTAGTAAACTGGAGGGAGAACTTCTTCCTTGATACATTTCATATCAAATGCTTGTCTGAAGCAATAAAATGTTAGAGCTATAGAAGTCCTGAGCTGTTAAATGGATGGTCTCATCCTAGAATTTCTTAATTTAGAAGTATTAGTTTCCTACAACCAGCGTACTCTCCAAAGCTTACCAATTCACGTACATCGGTATATCTTTCCATTACATATTAGTATGTTAAGAAAATATGTTTATGTGGCTCTCTGAAGGGTGAAGACAGAATAAGTGCAGGCTTTTTATTCTCTTACATATAAACCTCAACATTTTTTTTAACGTGAAGAGGTTTCCATTAACAACTAGGTTGCAACATCTACGTGAACAAAATATTTAGCATGAGACTGAACAGCTTCACATTAATAGCTCTCAGCTGACAGTATGAAGCTTGGACATTATTGATTACAATTCCAGTGTGATGCACTAACTTGAATAAAGCATGCAAGCAACATGTGCAGGCAAGCCAGATGCAAAACTGAAACATTATCTAAACAGAGCTGATTTCAAATGTTTCAAATGTAAATAACCCACCGGGTGGTCCTTTAGACTGTCAGCAATCATTATTTTCTCCAACATAAACAAGACTGTCAAACAGGATTTTTGTCACAACGATAAAATGTCATTCTTCACTAGTAAATCCTAAATTGTTTTTTTAAGAAAATAACATACCTTCAGAATAAATGAGTTCCTACCCAGATTTAAATGAAAGAATTTTGCAAGCTGTCCTTTAAAAACAGAAGATAGCTGAACAACAAGCTAGGAAATAAAGAATAAGTTTAGTTGCATTAGTAAAGTGATAGACCTTAAAATCTTGTTACAATTCAAAATCCTGTTTGCATTTACCCAGTTTCAATGGTTGACGTGTTTTCAGTACTTTGTGAAATATAAAACAGGTTTATCTTGCGTAAAAGTACTATGTTTTCCATTTCAGAATTTCTTATATCCTGTATTATTTACATATGGAGTTTTGCATACCCTTGTTCCATCAGCTGTTTAGCTCTTCTGCATGTTTCATACCAGACACCCAAGGAAGATTACTATGGTACGTGAAATCTTGTTTAAGTCTATTCTAACCATGAAACTAGTTGGTCTAATAAAAGGTATTGCCAAGAAAAACCCTTGCCCTTTGTATTTTTTCAAGAGCCATTACTTGAATCAAGAAAATTATTGGTAATGGCCTAAAAGATTAGTAGGTCTAATGCCTGCCCTCTTATATATAAAAGTTTCTAATAGCCAGATTAGATGCTCTTAGAATGATATTCAGCATCCAAAATCTCATTGAATTCAATAAAAGGTAGCTGCCTCAATAGCTTTGACCCTAATTCGCATAAATGCATAGTGAAGTATATATTCATCTACTGATCCAACACTCATTGAAGCCAATGAATGGAGTGGCAAAATGTTTAATTCATGTTATAAAAGACTACCTTTTATACAAGATTTCTGGGAAGAATAAATTGTTCAGGATCTCCTTGCTGCCTGATTCAACTTTCCATATGGGAGATGTCTCTCTTAGAGGTCAATCACACATTATGCTCTAATTCTCCATTGTGTTCTGTCTTGTGCTTCAGGACAGAGCATCTTTAGGGCCCTACCGCATCATTTTCTGTTGTCATATAGCCACTTTCTGTACAGCCTGTTTCTTGTTCTGCTTTCATCTGCTATGCTAAAGAACACAGTCTTTAGCAGCTGGCCATCTTTCGTGCAATAGATAGGGAGAAAAAGCTGGAGATTTCTCCTTTTTGTCACATTCCCAACTGTCTGTTTCACATTGATCCTTTTTTTGATCATCTTGTTTCTGCTGTGATTTTACCTGCCGATACGTATAATTAATTATCATTTCATTACAAAGGGCCAAATGCCTGTGAGCATCATTCTTCTTGAACATCTATGTTTCCACTGCATAGAGTAAAATTGTGAACATTCTTGATACAAGAAATCAGGATTCCTTTGTCTCTGCAAGCCAGCTTCAGGTCATCAGTAGTACCCTCCTCATGATCTCCTTGGAGAAAATGTTGTCCCACGTGTTAAGGCTTTCCAAACAGAAAATGCTTTCCATGCTATCCATCTTGTTGCCAGCTGCTTAAATGTCTACATCTTCTCCTTCTTTCCCCCACTTCACTTTCACCATGTTTGTCTTGCCCACATTGATTTGCAACATGAGTCATTCATCGGTCTTGTAGAGAATGTCAACCTAGGTCTGCAAGACCCTCTTCCCCTATGTCCAGCAGATAAATGTTATCTTCAGAATTTCAGTGCACCTTTACCCAAAAGCCTTTGGACAATTATGGTTTTGTCCATCAATCTCTTGAGGTAAATCATAAAGGTATGGGAGATACTAGACTGCTGTCTCTATAATTTTCATTGTCATCTTGAACCAGTTGCTTAGCACACGATTGACAGCAGATGCCAATTGAGCTTCTTTGTAAATATTTTTCAGCAGACTAACCACTCCTGGCTTATGATATATAACCTCAGAACAGCTCACAGACCATCATGCCATACAGAACTAAATTATTTTTGAAATCAACAAAACTATTGAAGACCTTCTGGTCAACTTCTCACTGGCCGCATCTACACAAGATGCTGACTGTGTAGTTGTTACTGTGCAGTCATTTAGTACTTGTTTAAGTACTAAATGGTTTTGCAGTAACTGGAGTTACTGCACAGTTGCACCAAGGAATGGCTTTTTTCATGATGCCGGCTGTGCCATAGCTCATGACTACTGCACAGCAGTATCACATCATGCTTCCAGCTATGTGACACTACTGTGCAGTAGTCACAGGCTACTGTGCAGTCAGCATCTCATATAGACATGGCCATTATGTACTCAGTACTTACCTTTTCCTTGCTGGTGAGCTTTTCTACATAGATATTTCTTTTTTGGTGCTGGGAAGGACATACTGTTCTGCTACAATTTTTCTTTCTATGTCTTCCTACACCTCCTTCCTTTGCAACTTCCCCAGGAGTTCTTGACAGATCACCCAATCTTCCTTTCTAGATAGGCCTTTTGACATGTAGGGTTTGGTCTTGGCTAAACAGGTAACTTTTCTAGGGAACAGTATCTTTCACAAGGAATGGCATATTCTTTGTTATCCCTAACTCTCTTGAGACTGTTTACTCTTCCCTCATTTTACATTTCTATTTGTTGGTCTTAACAGCTCTTTTACTACAACTCTGTCTAACTGAGTAGTATAGTCTAAAGATTTAAA